GAAGTCCACTCATATGCTATATGTATGAATGCAGACTGCATTAAAATGCCACCTTGAGGAAAATGCTAAGGGCCAGATCAGGAGACTCTCTGGATGAAAAAAAAAATCAATAGCAGGATTTTTTTAATGCATATTTTTTAGTGCTTACTGAAATTCAAAGTAGGTATGTGTAATTGAAGTAGCATGCTTGCTTTATTTCCATAAATCTAAGGTCTGGCTTTGAAGCTGGCTCCAGGGCATATCCGTCAGCACTGAACCTTGAATATCTGCCTGCTGAATCAAAGGTATGATGAAAAGTACAAGACAAATATAACACTGGCTTGCAATGTGCAGACACCCATGACTGTGTTACAGTGCTGAGCTCAGCAGCTCACAGTGGGGAAAAATGGACACCAAGGAGCTTTTTGTGGCTGAGAGTTCTTCATTCACCACCCAGAACATGAAAATGAGCAGACAGAAATATAACCAACTAGACAAAAGCATCACTCACTGTTATTTTCTTAAAATTCAAAGTGATATGGATGAAGTATGTGCTTTGTAAATCTTCCCTGGTCAGAAGCAAGCAGGTAAAGGTGCCACAGTAGCTTCTGGAGCTCTCAGGTGGCAGGAGCATGATACCAATGCTCTAAGAGTGGTCCTGGCTGGGTGATGGCAGTGCACGCTTTTAATCCTAGCACTCTGGAGGAAGAGGTGGGTGGATATCTGTGAGTTTGAAGCCATCCTGGTCTATAGAGCTAGTTTCAGAACAGGTAGGGCTGTTACACAGAGAAATCCTGTCTCAAAACAAAACAAAACAGAACAAAACAAAACAAAACAAAACAAAACAAAACAAAACACCAAAAGGAATGGTCCTGGCCATGACTGGCCTTTAAAATACTGTGAAACCATTGATCATCTTTCTCCCATCGAGCTGTTCTTGGTGGCGCACCCTCTCCTTTCTACACCATCCTCCAGTGTGCCTTCTCTTTTTCTCTTTCTAGTTAGCATTAGTCCCTTTCCTGAGAAATCCTTTCAAGAGGGATCAGTCAAGCACGCTTTAGTGTGATATAAAATTTATATTATTCTATTTACAGTTGAATTGGGCATTGCGTGTCTTCAACAGGCAGGTGTGTGGAGCCCTTGACGCGTAGCGCAGGATTGGGGGAGTCCTTACATGTGCAGCCTATTCTTTTTTTTTATTTTTTTTTTATTCTTTTTTTTATTTCTTTTTTTTTTATTAATTTATTTTGCAATACAATTCAGTTCTACATATCAGCCACGGATTCCCTTGTTCTCCCCCCTCCCGTCCCCCTCACCTTCCCCCCAACCCCCCCCCCCCATTCCCATCTCCTCCAGGGCAAAGCCTTCCCCACAGACTGAGGTCAACCTGGTAGACTCAGTCCAGGTAGGTCTAGTCCCCTCCTCCCAGGCCGAGCCAAACAATCCTGCATAGGCCCCAGGTTTCAAACAGCCAACTCATGCAATGAGCACAAGATCTGGTCCCACTGCCTGGATGCCTCCCAAACAGATCAAGCCAATCAACTGTCTCATCCATTCAGAGGGCCTGATCCAGTGGGGACCCCTCAGCCATTGGTTCATAGTTCATGTGTTTCCATTCATTTGGCTATTTGTCCCTGTGATTTATCCAACCTTGGTCTCAACAATTCTCGCTCATATAAACCCTCCTCATTCTCGCTAATTGGACTCCCAGAGATCCACCCGGGGCCTAGTCATGGATCTCTGCATCCAGATCCCTCAGTAGTTGGATGAGGTTTCTAGCACAATTAGGGTGTTTGGCCATCCCATCACCAGAGTAGGTCAGTTCGGGCTGTCTCTCGACCACTGCCAGCAGTCTGTTGTGTGGGTATCTTTGTGGATTTCTGTGGGCCTCTCTAGCACTTTGCTTCTTCCTATTCTCATGTGGTCTTTATTTACCATGGTCTCCTATTCCTTGTTCTCCCTCTCTGTTGTTGATCCAGCTGGGATCTCCCGCTCCCCCAAGCTCTCTTTCCCTCAACCCTCGCCTTTCATTACCGCCACTCATGTCCAGGCTGTTCATGTAGATCTCATTCCATTTCTCTGTCATTGGGTGATCCCTGTGTCTTTCTTGGGGTCCTGTTTTCCAGGTAGCCTCCCTGGTGATGTGAGTAGCAGACAAGTCATCCTTGTTTCATGTCTAGTATCTTGCTATGAGTGAGTACATACCATGTTTGTCTTTCTGAGTCTGGGTTACCTCACTCAGGATGATTTTTTCTAGATCCATCCATTTGTCTGTAAACCTCATGATGCCATTGTTTTTCTCTGCTGAGTAGTATTCCATTGTGTATATGTACCACATTTTGTTTATCCATTCTTCAGTTGAAGGGCATCTGGGTTGTTTCCATGTTCGTGCAGCCTATTCTTCACACAGTAACTGGCATAAACAATGAGGCTAAAGAGAAACTCTTCCACTATTGGAAACCTGGCTTCTTGTCCAAAAACATTACTCCCTCTTTTTCTCTCCACGATGAATTTTAATTTTCAAGTAACAGTCACTTCATCAACTCTAATTTCAAACAAATCTAAAAAGGAAAATGCAAACCTGTTGGAAAAGGTAGCAAGAGTAATTATATTTTAAGCTTATTGATCAAGTGTCCAATAGTTTAGCTTCCTAACTTCTGTATGGAGGAGGCTGTTTTATGACCTGATTGTCCTCTGCAGAGAGAATGAACTGCCTGAGGGACACAGTACAGGGTCTTTGCCAGGGATGAAACAAAGTCTCAAGGGCACATACAGCAGAACACCTTTAAGAAGTGGCCTTCCATATGCCTTGCTAAAGGCACATACCTAAGAAGACCAAAAAAACAAAACAACCAACCAAACAAACAAACAAACGAACAAAAACCCCAATCAACCAAAACAAAAAACAAAGCAAAACAACAAAAAAAACCCCAACCAACCAAAAAAATAAAAGAAAGCAACCCCCCCAAAACCCCCAAAAAACCAAAACAAACACCCCCCCAAACCTCTGTGGGAGGCCAGCTCCCACCTTTTACAGGGGTCCTGTAAGGAGGAGAGAGGAATAAGGAACTTGTAGATAGCAGAGATGAGACAGACAGAAACACAGAATAGCTTCGGGAGGACCTGGGTCAAAATTTACTGGCGCCTTTTTGTCCTTTCAAAATGGCTTTTTATAACAACGCCAAGGGATGGGGCAAAAAACCTCCCCCTTGCTAGATCAAAGCGTATTGCACAGCCAAGTGCAGACCCTTCCAAATACATGGTAACCATGCAAGTGATCAAGTCATCCCCTTTTTGCAGCCCAGCTGGGTAAAGCAAGCTCACATCTCACTAGGAAGCCTCTGTGGGCTCCCACAAACCTCTGACAGAACTAGAGAAGTAGGATGTGATTACATCAAATCAATATGCAAGATCATAGAAGCAAAAAATTGCTCAGAGAAAGCTCTACAGACCTTAAGTCTCAAGGGTACTTACAATAATGTATAGAAAAGAAATGAAAAAGCTATCAGAGGACCTAGTAGTCCCCCAGAGTAATGTGGAAAGCTATAGGGAATGGTTGACTCACGTTGATGGGACAGCTGGAATGCCTCCGTTCTCTTTGACCTTTCAATACTATCTTCCTTTTAAAATTCACTTTAGAAATCCTTACCTGGTTGGCTCAGATTTCTTCTTCTTTCTGAACTGAGATTATCTCTACACCATGTTGTTGTCCCTTCCATTGTTCATTGTGTGCCTTGTCACACTGACTAGATATTAAGCTTTCTTAGGTCAGAAACACGTCTTTGGAATTTCTTCTCTAGTTTCACTAGAATCATTGTATTTACAGATGCTGTTCAATGAGTGTTGCTTGGCTCACTGAATGTTTCCAGAATAAAAACATGTTACCTGTATTCCAAACACACACACACACACACACACACACACACACACACACACACACACACACACACATATCTTCATTGATAACTGTAGCTCTCACACTTTTTCACAAAGGCTTCCTTTTTGCAACAGATGGAGACCATTAGAGAGACCCAGAAGAAGAATAAGTGGGTGTCCAACTCCAACTGATATATCTGTGATACAACTTCCATACTAAAGGCTCAGGGAAAATGACAGGAGAGGGAGCAGAAAGCTTGTAAGAGCCAGAGGAACAGGTTACCTGCTGCCTGATAGTGTCTTATGGACATGACAAGGAAAATGTGCCCACCATCTCTTTGACAGTATGACTGCATGGACAAGATCAGTATAATGACAACACCAGTTGACATGTTAATGTAGACAGAGTCTCACCCCTAGATAGAGAGCTACAAGTGGTCAGTGTTGTAGAGAGAGGGAGAATTCATTTCTTTCAGGAAGAAGCTCCCAGGCTGGGGATTTAGCTCAGTGGTAGAGTGTTTGCCTAGCAAGTGCAAGGCCCTGGGTTCGATTCTCAGCTCCAGAAAAAAAAAGAAGCTCCCACACAGGCTTTTTAATGTCAAGCCCTGGACACTTGTGCATATGAGCAATGTTAAAGGAACTCAGGAGAGAGAGCGCATGAGCATGCACACATGTAACAATAATTATTGACAAAGAGATCATGAATTTGGAAGGAGGACAGGAGGACTTGGAGGCAGGGGAGAGTGATATAGATACAGTGTTCAAGATAAAGCTCTCAAAAACTTTCAAAGGCATTAATGGAAAATTTTTCAGCTCGGCTTCTATGATTAATATTTATATGCTGTATTCTGAGAAAGCTGTAGAAGCCCAGATAAGACAAGAAGCAGGAGGAAAATTTGTAGATATGAAAGTATGAATGGAGAAAACATTTAGCTATGTCTTGACATGAGTAACAAAGTTGATAAGAGTAATGATACCATAGCCTTACATTTCAATAGATTCTTGATTCTTTGTCATATAACAAGGGACAGATAGATAAAGGGAGAGATAGTAATAATACAGAGAATAGCAAAGGAAGACAGATATAAAAGCAACAGTTCCAAAGAAAGGCAGGAAAAATAGTCAAGATAAAAGAAACAGAAGGAGAACATAAAACAGGGAATATTTATTGACAAAATAGTACACCAGGCAGAGAATCAAATATTTACAGTGTAGGAGTACTTGTAGCCATCTATAGGTAATGTTTTGATTTGTTTTCTACCATGTGAGTTGGGGAGAGAATGTCCTGAGTTCTTTCATACCCTTCCATTTTCATTCACTACGGTTGCTGATACTAATATGAATATCTTTGTTCCACATGCTGTATCTATGTGAACAGAAGGTATGGAAGCACGAAACTCAACCGCAGTATTTCAGAACATCACAAGACACTTGCTGTGGAAAGCACCATTACATTGTGCTTGTCTAAGGCCCTAACCTGAGGTTTTAGGTCTAAAATGTTTGTCAATGCATGCAGTAACTTATAAGCAAGTTCCAGTTGCATAACTTGAACTCATAGTAGCTGGGACTGCGTGCTCAAGATTGATACAAGATTCAGCCAACCCAAATCCCAGCACAGATGGGGAAGGTAAAGTCCCACCCCGATCTGAGGAGCTATTGGTACTTGATGGCTGCTGGGGGAGGGAGAGTCAGTTTTCTTCAGGGATCAAATCCTGATAGGCTACCAATGCTCCAGCAGATGGTTCAAACTCATGTACATACAGGCAGCACTCAGTGAGTACATGTAAAGAGGACATGAAGTGAGAGGAGAAAGTGGTAGGGAAGGTAAGGGGAGCGATTGTAAGTGGTGGATTTGATCAAAATCCATTACATACATGTATGAATATTGAATACAATATTTTTAAAGTTCTAAAGAGAATGCCCCATGTTACAGAATTCATATTTGCTGTGGAACTGGACGAATGCATATGAAAATATTCTGCTTGTTCCATGTCAGAGGCCATCAAAAGTCTTAAAATGTTGAAATTAATGCTTTGAGGTAATGGACTGCTGATTTGATAGGATGCTTGAACTGTGACCTCCTCTACCATCTGGACGTGTTACTGATGAACTGTGGATCTTTTGGTCGATTCAAGTGGGGGAATTATGGGTAGAGGAAGAGTCAGTTTTCTGGTGCTGGTACCTACCAGTCTCTTCACCACTAATTCCTGGCAGCAGATGGACAGGGACTGATAGCCCACTGCTTCTCTAGTGTTACTGTTCTGGTCCAGGCCTCAGGACGCTAAATTCTTGGCTCTCTTGTGACAAGCACTGCAGCTCTTACACAGGTCTAGGAAGTTGGGATTCCTAGACTTCGACAGCAGATATGATCCCAGCTTCTGGGCCTAGGTTGTTTCTCCTGTTTCTTGTTATTTCTGCCCTGGGCATTCCCTGGAACTCTCCAGCTGCCTCTGTTCACCATTGCCCCTGTCACTACTGCCACCCTCCTGGTGGTGCTGTTGGAGGCTGCCTCCCCGACTACCACCTCTGTTTCTGCCTCTCTGCTACTGTTGCCTCCATACCTGTGGTTGCTATGGTTGATACTACTGGTACCATGGCTGTCATTGCCACTGTCACCTGCACAGCCATTGTTGCATCCTTCTCCATGTTACATCCTTCTCCACGTTACATCCAACTCTGCCGATGATGATGATGACCAAAGGAGGCAGTAAAAGATGACCCAAGAGAAGTTCTTTTTTGAACATGAAAACAGGTTATAATTCAAAAGTCCAGGGTTATTTTAAACAGTAAAATATTTTCTCTGTAGAAAATAGTATAAATGATAACATTTCCCAATAAACCCTCTAAGCCAAATAATAGCTGAATTATACATATAAATATTGATTCATTTCTGGGATATGGAAGAAACCTATCTTCACCTGTTCATAGAGCTATGTTTTACTTAAGTTGTGTAAGTGAACTTCCTATTCATCTTCCCAAGCCTATACCCAAGGGATGCTCAATCATACCACAAAGATACATGCTCAATTATGTTCATAGTAGCATTATTCTTAATAGCCAGAACCTGGAAACAACCTAGATGCCCTTCAACTGGAGAATGGATAAACAAAATGTGGTACATACACACAATGGAGTACTACTCAGCAGAGGAAAAACAATGACATCATGAAATTTGCAGGCAAATGGATGGAACTAGAAAATATCATCCTGAGCGAGGTAACCCAGACTCAGAAAGTTTTTTATTTTAAATTAATCCCAGTGTTACAGTATTTGGGGGAGGATGGTGTTTAGTATAGGTGTCTCCCATATGTTCGCAGCGAGCCTACATTTATAGCTAGGAAAGGGGTGTTTATGTCACTCACAGAAGATCTTCATTCAAAGGAAGGACTGTGCTCATATCAACCATGGTACTGTCCTCTTCGCACTAATCACAGATGTCTTCTGCCAGGTCACAAGGGCAAGGACTACTTTTCTGGCATGTGTGGAAACAGTTGCAAGATCCTCTAGCTTTCCCTGAGACTTGTAACAGTGACAAGTCCAGGTCAAAATGTCTGAGATAACTGTGATTTGGGCAGTACACAACTTAGGAACCAGAGCTGTACTTCAGCAGCAAACAACCGGGATTGTAGTGTAGCTTCCTCAGGGCATCCGTGGAGGAGTATTCAAAGTGACTGGTCTTGGTGTGAAGGTAATTTTTTAGTTGATTTTTAGTGAATTTCAGTGCAAGTCCTCCGTCAGTGAAGTCTTGGTACCAGAGAAGGGTCTAAGAGCTGTCAGTTAGGATTTCAAATTGCCCCCCTTAGCTTATTTTAAGGAAAAAAATTACAAAGGTATTTAAATATAGACACCATTAACAGTGACTTTTAGCATTGTTTAAGTCCCACCTGACACCCTGGGGACATGGGTCTCCTTCATCTCAGAGTTGTTGTTCAGGACATGTTTTGTTTAGAAATGATACTCACCTCAGTTGAAGGGTGGATGATCCACCTACTCAGAAATGTCAGTATTAGGAAAAATTTGAAAGCAGGTCACAAAAGGTTTAAGTGATAATGTGAGGTAAAACACATGAAATCCTTAGAAGTATTTTTCTGTCCCCAATGGAGAAGAGAGCTTCTTCCTAATTAAATTATGTTCCTATTGAAAATAATATTTTAGAAGCAGGGTTTTAATTTAGCAGTCTTTGGCTGTTGAAAGCATGATCAACTTCTTTCAAGATCCATAAATTGACCCGTGGTCTGCCATAATTGTGCTTTTTACACCACCCCTTTGCACGTAGTAGAGGGACCTCTTTCCTGTGCGAGAGTGGAGAAGTATTCCAACCCTGGAAACAACAGCGGCTGTAGTGACTGGGCAAATCACGTAAGCTCTTCCAGGCTCAGTGATCGCAACTGTCAGAAGGAAAAATGGCATCAGTCATATCTTATAATGGTGCTCATTTCCATTTCTAAATGCCTGACCCATGTCAGCTACTTGCTGTGCCTATGGCATCCATTATCATAAGTTTCTCGTCTGCTCTGCATGGCAGGAATACTATTATCATTCATGTTTTACAGCTGTGAAAGCTGGAGCTCAGATTTCTTCAGTAAGCTTTCCACATTCACAGAGCTAACATGTGGGTACAGCAGATTAAAAAATCCCCACTAATTTATTTCTAGTGGGGTGTGGTGGGGAGAGCACGTACATGTGGAGGTCAGAGGATGCTTGTGGGAGAAGGTTCTTTCCTTCCATTGTGTAGGCTTTGGGGATTGAACTCAGGCTTAGCATTAAGCCATTGTACTCACTGAGCCTTCTTTCTAGACCTGTAGCAGATTATATCACTTCATATGTATGTTCAAAAAGTCCCTGCCTGGTTCTCCTTGGAGCTTTGAAAATCATTACAAATAACACATGAGAACATTTTGAAAACTTCAAAGTTTTCTGAAAAATGCTTGTCGTTATCTCTATCCTAATAGGTGTGAATTAGTTATCATGTAGTCTTTGAGTTCCTTATAACAAACACTTAACTTTGAGCCAGATTTTTAACTAGTCTATGAAATTAGTGATTCCCCCTAATGTGTATTATATAAGATGTATTATAAGGAAATCTTAAATATACCCAAGTAGAAGTTTTTGCCATTCTTAGCATCTGGTGTTCCTATTTCATTGTTTTTAGAGGAAAGGTATAATGAATCAAATTTACTAAGAAAAATTGAGTGAATGTTTTAAGAAATAAAAACTAATTGCGTATAACACAGCCTTCATGTAACACTCCCTGGAACATGAATGATATTATAAAAACATCAGAGGAGAAGAGAGAAATATCCTACAAAGACCAGAATATCTCTACTGAAAATTCATGCATCACCTATTCTACTGACCAACAGTTTCATTCCCCCATCTGGCTCTTGGATGCTTATTTTTAGAGTCAGTAATGACCAACAGGATTGTTAAAACTTACTTGAAGAGTTTACTTTTGATTCAGAGGCATACAACTTCTGCAAGAAGATGGGTGGGGATCCACAGAGCTTCCCTAAAATAAGTACTGAGTTTTGGAAAAAGTTTTTCTCTTGTAGGGAAGCATCCCATTTCCATGGAGAGGGACCAGCAAGAGATACTGCTCTGTTTTTCTTGTCAAGGAAGGAGCTATGGTAGTCAGGCTATCAGGTAGCCAGTTAATCTCCATGACAGGTTAACATTCAAGAAAGGCTTTTCCCATGACGTTTTCCAGAACTGCCAACATCTCAATGAAAAGGCAATAAAACTCTGCAGAGGAATCAGCTGAGCCCAGAAATGAGCTGCCTTTTCTGCTTCCTTGTGCTTACGGTTCAGATAAAAAGATCTGCCATAGTGAGGAACTGTGAGATTAAAGCCACATGCATAACACATGTGCATCTCCTGGCATAGACCGATTCCCACTACTGAATCCAATCCCATTTTCCTAAATATACCTTCCAGTTGTTCTTGAAAACTCGGTGTATTCTATCCGGCTGGCCCATGTAAGTAGCTAAAGAGTTCAGAAGAAAATGTGTTCAAATGCTGACAAGATGGAGGATGTTTGATCTTCAAGGCTTTATCAAACATCTTTGATGGGTAGAATATAGTTTTGTGTAGGTAAATGTTGGGGTCCAGAATGAGTTTAGCAGAGTGAGAAGTAATGCCATTGGACAACTAACTTGCTACTTATTTTGGGTATCTTTAGTTGTGTGAATGTTGGGGGCACTCCTTCATAGATTTTCTTAAAAAATTGTAGGTGAGATGGGATAATACAGTTTTGTCTAGTTCCGTCAGGGATTTGGCTCCATTGGAGTCCATGAGCAAAGGCATGAGACTCTCTGGAATGACCCACAGCATAACCAGGCTCAACTTTCCTTCACCCAGAGCTTGAATTTCGTTGGACCTTAACATGCAAGATAGACTAAACAGAATCAATATGCAAGTGATTTTTACAAGGAAAATGATGGGTACCTGTCCCACTTTGCTATGTGTATTTGTTCATTGATTTTGAGTAGAGGATGAAAGGGGCAACCTTACGTTGTCTCTAAAGCTGTCTTTCAACAGCTAGTCAGAACCATGCCACACTTTAGAAATGAAGATGCTTGTCAACCACATGGCTTGCCCACCTCTGTGCAAATTCCGGGGCCTAGGGCAAAGTATTCCTAATAGAACTTTTTTTTTTTATTATAAACCCTTTCACTTTGGGAGGTAGAATTAATGTACTAAACTCTGGAGACTCAACTTGGAATCTGCTTTACCTCTGTCCAGTCTGGAGCTTACTCTCTGCCAGCTGATCTTAGACAGGTTACTTAATGTGCACTGCTTTCATCTTCCTGTAAGTGAGGGCATCTCAGGTAAGTTTCTTGTCTCCCTCTGTCTGGGGTATAGGAGTGTGTGTGCATAGTGTGGTGTGGTGGTGGTGGTGGTGGTGTGTGTGTGTGTGTGTCTCCATGTTTTGCCCTTCTCCAGTTCCCCCTTTCTAGGGACATTTGTCCAAACTCCTGCTGGCCTCTCTTCCTACCCAAACTTCTCTATCAGGCTTCTGAAAAAGAAGATTAAGTTTGAATGAATGGGTCATTGTTTCTTGTAAGATAAACAACAGTCGATAAAGGCGGGGGATGACCTACTTCTGAAGCCGACAAGCAAGGAGGAGTTTATAGCTTTGTGCTCTTTAGACTTAACCAGTTTTCCTTCTTGGAATGTATTTTATGGAACCTGACTAATCACCCTGGCAATATGTTACCAAAGTCTTTTTGGCTGTGAATCAAAGTCTCTACTATTCCAGCACATGAACTCTGAGAACCCAGGCATGGAGAGCACTGTAAGGAGCTGGAGAAAGTATGTGTAAAGAATTTTGGCTTTCGACTCTGATATAAAGGGAGAAAAAGAACAGGGATAATGAATTGGGGGAATAAGTACAAGTAACAAATGCATGGGAAAAGGGGCCTAACCTTCTTAATATTCAAAGAAGTACAAATAAAAGTAACATGCTAAATGCTATCATCTCCCCCCCCCCCAATCATATTTCCAGGAATGTAAATGGTTGACCAAACCTGGTGTGTTTCCAAGACTGAGAAACCGGCATACTTTTTGCAGCTTCCAGATAATCTTTCTGATAAGCACAGTCACGTAAAATATAAAGCTTCTTTACTCAACAGTTCCTAGTTTAGGACTTATCCCTAAGAGATAACCACAGAATGTATGTACAAAAAGTACAGCATATAATGTGTTTGCAGAAGTGTACTCATAGAGGAAAACCAGAAACAATGTTAGGGGATTGGTATAATAAAGTATGGCCAATATGTCCTCTAAAATCCCGTGGAGTCAACAGAACCTATCATGTAACACTTTAGATCTTGCTGTGGGAAATTATTCAGTGATGCAAAGCAGATGGATACACATCCATCTGTTCCTCCAAGGCGATGTCAGTAGAAATGTGACATGTCCACTTAAATCGGAACAGGAACAATTAGAGTGCCTTGTACTTCCTTACCGACTGAACTCTCAGCTGTGTGCCTTATCCACTCTGTCCTTAGGGAAAGTTACACAAACCTTCTTATTCTTAGTAAAAATGCAGAGAATAAAAACCAACCTCTTTGAGGTTACTGCATGAATCAAGCCATAAAGCACATGTCAAGCACCTGGGATGAAATAAATAAAAAGAGCTTTGATTCCTTGTCCATTCAGAGTTTCAACTTTCTTTTCATTATATAAGTATAAACAGCTGTGTTCTTATGCTTACGATTCAAAGGGAGACAGCTGAGTGGGTTTTGAATGGCTTCCATTTGTTTTAATGCAGGAAGAGCCCTCGTTCCAAGTATGTGGACTAGTATTTTCCTAAGGCTGCAGTCCGCCAGAAAATAGCCATATTGAATCATTGTTTTCCAAAGCCAGGAGAGGAGATGGAGTGACTGGTGCTGATGTTGAGCCTAAAATAATATCTCATTCTTGTCATCCTTAGGCACTTCAAGACCAAATGATTTTGCGTAGATCTACAGTTCCCCTCTGGGTCTGGAAGAACAAAGCTTTTGTTATTTATGCTCTTACACAACAGAGCTCTGTCCTATGTCCAGGAGTACATAAAACAAGGGATTTCTCAGGCTGTCCTATCTAATGGGAGAAGCTGTTCCAAGGGCCTTCAACCACCTGCAGAGGGCCTATACGGTCTACAAAGGGTGATGGGCAGACTCGTAGAGTACAGCAGCCAATCAGGGCTGGACTTAGTTCTGCTATATTGCATTGAAGTTAGTGGACTCAGCCACCTGGAAACTCTACTACTGAGCTACAATCCCAGTCTTAGTATTCACTTTTAACTCAGTCTCTCCTAAGAACATGAACGTATGGAATCACATTAATAATCTCTGTGAAAAGAAAAAACAAATAGCACCCCCTTTTTTCTCTCTGTATCTGAGGTTGAGAAATGAAATGGTAATATTTTTTTCCTTTGAATATTTCTGGCCTATGGATAGTTATTTTAGGTAATTTTGAATAATCTTTTTGGAACTGTTGACAGTATAGAATGAGGGGTAATCATGGCTCAAGGATTTTTACCACTGGTCAAAGGATCGATCATTAGAAGAACATGAATTAGGCTGTCAGTGTCCCATATCCATCCTCTCCTTTCTCTCTTTTACACAAAGCAATCCCTGGCTTGTTCTTGTACCACCACACCTATGTGGAATTTTTATTTAGCAATAAGCCACATCTAAGGTGAATCTGGAATTGACTCTGATTCCTAGTAGTGATAGCTGGTGAGTATTGCAAACAAATAATGCTCCAGACTTTGTGTTACATGGCTTGCACATATTGTCTTGATGTTTCTCAAGGGTAGTTCAGAAATGGCTAGCTTTACAAGCATGGTTGGAGAACTGGGCGATGAAAATGCAGATCCCTAGGCTCTGTTCTCTAGACTCTT